TTTTTGTTTGTTTGTTTGGTGGGAAAAAGCAGGAATTCCGTTCAATGACCAAACGAGGCCGGGAATGTCATAAACTACCCGGAGCGACTCGAGAGAAGGCCACTGGGACTGTCCCAGCATTGTGGTGACCCATTCTCTTTGACTGTCGAGCTATATTTTTTCTTTTTGCCTTTTTTTTTTTTTTTTTTTTCGGTTGACGAAGTGTCATGTAGACGTGGGTTGGGTTTAGGTTATATGGACTTTCCTGAAGGGATCTGACCGGAGTTACGGCCTTATTCATTCGAGAGAAGAGGTCGTAGCGAACACTGCCTCCCAAATGGTGAGTAGCAGCTTCGACCATCGTCTTCGTTTACTACGCGGGTGTACTGCATCGCCAAGGAGGAAGGTCAGAAAGGGAAGGAGAAAAAAAAAAAAAAAAAAAAAAAAAAGGGAGAGGAAGGAGTCAACGGACCAATCCATGGTCGTTTTAACCTTTTCTTAAAAAAAGAAGAAAAGGGAAATATAGGAAAGCAGTAGGCTGCATCCCATCAATTCGTTTGCTCGTTTTTTTTTTTTTTTTAACGGAAAAATCGGCTGGGATTCACGGATTATACTTGTCTTTTTTCCCGTGTTTAAACATTGGGTGTTCCCAGCAGCAGGTGCTGCTCCCAACAAATAGAATGGAGCCTTTTATTACTTAGAAAAATAAAAAATTGGGCGGGTTCGCGGCATCGATGCACAAGTTGCAGCACAACCCGTCCACACGCCGCCAGGGGCTAGGTCTCTTTAGCAAAGAAGAGGGTTGGGTAAACATCCTGAATCTGGATGTGTTTTAAGTGGAGATGCGGAAAAGCAATTGAAGCATTTTTCCAATTTTCTGACCTTTTTTTGAAGTCGAGAATTAGGTTGTTTTTCAGTCGTCTTTGCCAGTGGGACGTCGCTCGAGGAGAATTGCCCCACGAGCGCCTCATGCAGGGTATGGTCAGTACGGTGTGACACAGTGTGGCAGTGGAACGACAGGTTCATTGCTGCGGAGAAAGGAAAAATAAAGGGAAGAGGGGGGGGCCTGCTGGCTACCCCCCATGTAAAAGACCGGGGCTTGAGAATTACCCAGCGGCACTTTAAAGGTGACCATGAGCCCAAAAAGAATGAAATTTCCCTCTCAACCTCATAATCATTATGACAAGACCCCACTAAACCGAACAAAAAACAGCCCAAAGCCGAAATCTTCGTTTTATTCTGACTTGCATATGTTTTTGGGGGGATTTTCGGACCGTTCCGGTGCTTTTTTGTACCTTTTTGTCTTAACGGTGTCGTCACAGCTTATTGTGTTGTGTTGCCAATCTCTGCAATCTCATTGGTCCACGTGGCCGGAATGATGACCGAGGAGATGAGCTGCAATCTCATTGGTTCACTTGGCTGCTGGAATGACGACAGAGGAGACAAGGTGATTACTGGTACTCTGGCATTCACTGTAATGACGCTGTCGATGTTGATGCTCCTGCCATAGCTGCCTGCGAGATCATTGTCTTGGCCTGCAGTCGATGATGACTTGTCTACTCGGTTCTAGGATCAGACGGAGGAGAGAAGGAAGGTGATCATAGGTACTCTGGCCTTTAGAGTGACGACGGTGTTGATGTTGCATCTCCTGCCATAGCTGCAGCCTCTGTATTTCGACTAGAAACGCAGTCAGGTTTTAGTCTTGGCCGCTTCCGTGAGATCCGCCCTTCAGGTGGGGACGGGAGTGATGGGCAATGTGGCTGGACAGCAGGGGGAAAGGAGGGGGGAGGGGGGGAAGGGGAGGGAGTAAGTGCACCCACCCACCTAATGTTGAATGCGCGCGTCGTTCGTAATATATGTGAGTGAACTCCTCTTCAGGTCTGTGGAGTTTTCCATCTGGTGTGGGTGAGTGGTGATAGTCTGCTTTGATTTTCGTCACTGGTTGGTGGTCCCCACCTCCTCAGAGGGGTATCAGGGGTATCAGTTGTCAGGCAGTCGTTGATGCTGAACCTCAACTGCGGACCGGGGTTAAGGTGGATTATCACTTAGTGTAAACAATGACATCAGGTTAGGGGATTCTGCAGACTGTTTTTGAGGGTTCAGCCTGCTCCTGATGAGTGATAGTCTGCTGTGATTGTGGTCAGAGGTACCTTTAGGGCAGTGGTTGGTGGTCCCCACCACCTCAGGGTATCAGTTGCCGGGCAGTCGTTGATGCTTTACCACAACCTGGGTTAAGGTGGATTATCACACTTAGTACAGTGTAATCAGTTAATAGGGGATTCTGCAGACTGTCGAGGGTTCAGCCTCTACTGCTGATTGATGAGTCCGTGAGACTCCGAGGAAACAGTTTGTCACAACCCCTCGTTTGGTGTCCTCTTCTCTCTCCCTCTCTGCAGATGGTTTACCTAGAAGCTCTGTTCGACTATATATATCGGTATCCCTATGGGGGCAAATGCTGGTCCTGAGATTGCTAATCTTACACTTTATAGGGATGAGGCGCAGTATGTGGACAACCTGCAACGTGTGGATCCATCTGCTGCTCGACAATATGCTTTCACTTATCATTTCATTGATGATGTCCTCACTTTCGGTTGCTTGCCGCCATCGCCAGCCTGTTGTGGTCTGGAATGGAAGGAGACAACGGATCCTGATGGTTCTTGCACTTTCTTAGGTGCAAAGCTGCAGACACGGACAGATGGATCCCTCCGATTGTGGGTGAGATGTGTATAAGAGACAGGGAGAGGACAGACAATTTTCAGTCTAGCTACATCTCGAAATTGTTTGCGTGTCTCGGTGACTTCAGTTATCATTCGCCGAATAGAACGCACGGTCGTTATAGCTGTAGCTAGACTGAAAATTGTCT